ACGAACGGAGACAACTGCAGATCAGTCGTGTGCTCACAGCCTGGTCCAATCCACTTTGAATGCCTCCAAGGACAGGGCATCCACCAAAGAGGAACTTGCTCTAAACACCCTACCAATATTCTTCTTAATAAAAAGATACGACCATAGTTTTATGGAAAACACATGCAGAAGAAGTCAAGCTCCCTTGAGAAGCTTAAGTATATCTGTTTGATGGCTTTCCTTTTTTTTTTGCATCTGAGGGCCTGACCCTCTCAACATTTCAGCATACGAATAACCACACTCATGTAAACAAAACGGGCTCCTTCATGGATGAAACAGCCACAAGTGCTTTTGTACATTAAAAGGCTATTTAATCTACCTTAAGAGTTTCCAAAAGATGAAAGGATGCACAGGCACCGTACCCTCTGGGAGAGGATCAGTGTCGTTGCCAATGCAGTGGGGTTACTTAGGTGACTGTGTGGCTGGGGGATGAAAGTTTGATTATTAAGGAAACCACTCCTAACAACAACACGCTAATGCTCTCATCGTCCCCATTTGCTACTCCAAGCTTGATGATTCAGCTCTTACAGCTACACGGAGATGAAACTCTGCCCATTCTGTAGACACAACTGTGGGATTGGGGGCACTAAGACTGGGCTGATGAACCTGGCTGACAAACCTGGGGCACACGCTGTTCTCTTCCTCTGGAAATTGGTTTAAAAAACCCAACCCAAGCTTCAGACAATTTAAAATTCATAATAAAACGTAGCTCAGTTACTAAACCTCAAAGGGATCCCCGGATTGTGCTTTTCTTAATGAATTCAATAATCGATTCTTACTACACAAATAAGGTGTGGGATGGATCAGCTAATAAGCATTCCCAGTTAATTGCTTTCTTCAAGTGACAATTCGCACAAATGATACCATCAAAGGAGTAATAATATCCTTATTGATTAAATTAATCTCTGAAAGACAACTCAAATGAGTTTAATTAGCAACGCATGACAGTAGCACAAAATACTCTGAAAATAACCTTGTAACCCATCCTAGGCTTGAAATCGTGGCAACAGTCACGCAACGGCCCTTTGCATCTTTATTCAAACAGACACTCACAATTTTACAGAGCATCTTTAGCGAATGTCTGTGACCAACCATGAAAATCCACAAAACCAGAGAACGCAGAGAATCAGCGAGATGTTGCAAAAGCAGTCTGCCTGCGTTGTCATTCAGTCCCTAAAAGCCAGGGCCACAAACAGGCTTAAAATAAAATAAAAACCTTCAATGAAAGGAGGCTGTTGGAGAAGGCCATGTGTCAAAATGGACAAAACAGAGTCAGTGGGGATCCAGGGCTACACCAGTGCTTTCAAGAGATAGGAACTGGGCACCAGGTTCACAAAATCAGAGGAGAAACCTGCTCAGTGAAGCAATGGGTTGAAAAGATTGGGTGTAAGTTTGGATTTGGGAGAGCAGCTATTATCTTTGGGGCCCAGGGCTTGTGCTCCAGGGATGGGCAGTGGGATCTCGATGAAACAGAGTTGTCCACGTTTCCATATTCCTGTGGCAGGACTGAGACCAGGTCAGTGGTTGGGGCCACGGCAATTTTTCAGGAGATGTTTGTGCTTCTTAGCTCCTTCTGATCAGATGTGAGGCTGCCTGAAAGCTACAGACATTTCACAGCTGGAAACTGAAGCTGCATATTCCACCAATACAAATGGCAGACAAAATCCTATATGTCACATCCCTACTGCAGTGAAATGAAAAATATCCTCACGTTAAAAGTTGCATTCCCATGGGTAAGGAGCACCCCAAGAGATGCAGGAAGATGAAGTACGACTTCACCCTGGTGCCATTCTCTGATGTTGGGAGAAAACTGCAAGCCTTCTCGCATCCTTCCCACACTGATGAGTAACGGCCTTAAGCTGTGCCATGGGAGGTTCAGGTTGAACATTATGAAAAATCTCTCCCCAGAAAGAGCGATGCTGCAGTGGCACAGCTGCCCAGGGAGTGGTGAGGTCACCAACCCTGGAGGTGTTCCAGAACTGTGGGGATGCGGCACTGAGGGATGTGAGGGGTGGGGATGGGTTGGGGCTGGGGTTGGTGATCTTGGCCTTTTCTAACCTGAATGATTCTCCGTGGGCTCCACGCAGCCCGCAGTCTTACCCAGTTGCAGGCACAGTGAGGCGGTTTCCACAAACACTCTGCTGCTGGGAGGCATTAACTCAGGGACAGGTTGATCAAACATGGGGTCCTTGTGGCTGTCAACGCAGTGAGAAAGACCTGGAGCTCTTATAATATGATTGCAAGATTGCAAGGCACACTTTGGAAAAAAAAAAGAAAAAAAAGTGTTGAAAATCTCTCTGTTGAAATATTAGCCTACACTGCCTAGCTTAGCAAAGACTTCTGTGCTCTGCCAAGAAAAGGGGAATTAGAGTTGATTCTGCCTCAGGAGGTGAAGGAGTGGACATCAGGGACAAGAGAAGAGAATAAGCACAGCATTCTGGAGACACTCCAGTGTGATAAAAGACAAGACAATACAAAGAACAAAGTGTTCCCCATGCCGGGGCCAAAGCCACCCGTGAGCAGAACAAGAATTTGCCTAGGGCAAGAGCATGCTTAATGGCTTTATTATTAACTGAGCAACCCGAGGATGCTCCCCAGCAAGTAAGGGAGAGCAGTGAGCCGGGAGCTACCTCATGAATGTGAGTAATGGGGTTTGGGTTTTTAAGTGGCTCACACAGAAACGTTCTCACTGAAATCAGCACCTGAAAGCGCGATCTGCAAATATTCCCCTACACAAAGATGCAGTACAACAGATCTATATATTCATGAGACTCTTGTGTAGTATCAAGCCTTGGCCCTAGGTTAGGACAGTCTACACTCCTCAATTATTTACTGTTATTCATATTACTTACCTTTAATTTTAGCATTAAAAACTATGCTAAAATTTAGCAAAAAGCTTGTGGTTTTGCCTGAAACACTGTAATTTTTCAATTTTGTTCTCAAAGCCTCAATGGGTTTATTATCTCATTTTTGTTCTTCGAGCAATTTGTTTTTTTAATACAAGAATAATATGTTTTTAAAATTGCCATGATTCTCAGAATGGAATTTGCGTCACCATCAAAACAAAAATAAATCCTTTCTGTACATATTTTTCATCCGAGAATCACTACAACAAACATGGAAGCACCAAATTGCTTCTCTGACTGCAGCCAAAACAAACAAACAAAAAGAGCAATAAAAGCCTCGACATTTCATATTCAAATTGAACCTTTAGGAGAAGATTTGGTTCCATCAGAGTCACGCATTACTGACGACTGAGATGGGTGTTACAGACCCTGGCCATGGCAGGTTGCAGGCATGTGGGGAAGGGCTGACAATCTCTGAGCTGCAGGATGACTGGGAAAAGCTTAAATCCATCTGACACCCCGAGTTCCGTGTGAAACCACAACAATCCTCTGCTTCCTTATGCAGCCAACGATCAGCCTTGGGTAAACTACTTATAAACAGAATCTTACTGTAAAGCAGAACTAAAAATATCTGGCAATTGTTAACAGAGCACCTATGGGAGCTCTCCCCTCAACATGAGCTACCTGACAATGGCCAACATACATTACGTGCCAAGAACTCCCAGTTGCCCAAAGATGTCACCTGCACTGATTTAAAAAGCTCAGGGATATTTGAAAACCTACTGCCTAAAAAGGGAGATTTCCTAAATATTTTGTCTATCAAAACCAACAATATTTTTCAAGTCTTGACCAGAACATGCAATGCACACGTGTGCAAGAAGCAAAGAAACACACAGGCTGCAAACACAAGCCTGGGTGAGTCACTGGAGGAAGAGGGGGATTATCTTTTTCCAGAAGGATGTTTATTGCATGGCTCTGAAAAGTTCAGCACGTGAAAAAGAAGACGACATATGTTCACCAGTTGTCCCTGAGACATCATCTTATTTTTCTAGTTAAGAAGCCAATCTTCCATGAAATCCCCCCAAAACCTAACAGATGGGTGAAATTATTAATTGTGAGAAGACTAGTTCCACAGTGACAATATTAAAAAAAAAACATAGATAAACAAATTAGGATAGTCACAAGAGAAGCCTAGTTTGGAGCTGGATCTCTCTAGACCCAGGAAGCGAGTTGCATGATGATACACAATAATCACTTCATATGGAGAAGAGTACGTGGCATATTTAAAGCCTTTAATTTCTACTCCCTTGTTTAAATGAGATTATTGCTCCCTGTAGTCAATAACAATAGATTTTTAAAGTTTCTTCTGATTTGCCAGCAAAGCAAATATCCTCTGGTAAATCTATGAGCTGAACAATGATTTTTCATTTTTACAACAGCACAGTCAATTCAATTTTCCAGCTCTAAGTCTCAAGTCTCTCCCTATCAGCCTGTTAACGTACAACTTCTGTACTCCAAAACATGCCTGGAAAAACCTCCACAGACTTCTCCATCCCAGGTTGCTTCTTTACACTGAATTCATTCCTTATGAATCATTCACTGTATGTACACATTTGAATCACTAAACCCATCTGATATTGTACACAGTAATCAAGTGATGTTGTCACAGTAGATGCTGTAACGAGGAACGTCTCGTGGATTTATTGAGGAAACTCTAAAAACGTGGCTGTTAGTGTTTTGCTTTTAAAAGCTCTGCCTATTTAAGAATACATTTTATTTGCAACTGCTGAATGCTTCTATGATATCTTCTTGATTTACTCACAAGAGGCCCACTTCCTCCCTAAAACAGCGCCGTATTTCTACTGATATTTAAGATATTTATGGCTCAGACCAACCAACGTGACAACTTGACCAAGGTCAGTTTATACTGCCCTCAGAAATTGCTCTCGCCCCTAGAAACAAGTCATTTTCACCTTTAAACTCAAATATACATTCTTTAAAGCAAGCCAACAATTCACCTGAAATGTTTTAGTTACTGCGTTAACCTGCTGAAGTTTTGCTTTTGGTTCCTTAAGTAATGCTAGGTGAGATTCTGCTCACAGCTGTGGCACAAACCTTGATGCCGAGCTCTATGTTCTCCCCTCCATACACGTCCATCCCGGGATCGAGGAGCCCGATCTCTCCAAAGAACTTCCTGTGCACAACGAAGGAGCAACCGATCATCGCTGGCGTCCTGCACCAAATGAAAAACAACAGAAATGCAACAAATTATTGACAGGTTTCCACCTTCAGTGGACCGCGGGGACCATGTTTGGGTTTCCATTCCCCCTGTGCGAAGGAAATAGAATACTGGCATTTCCTTCATCTTATTCTGTTCCAGCACATCTAGTAACAGAGCAGACTTCAGGACAGATATTAGTGTTCACGAAAAGAGGTCTCTACTTAGGATCTTTATAATATAACATGTAGGCATTGCCATCAGCTATAAAGGAGCATGAAACCTTTGAGAAAGGTTTAAAAAACGTTAATAAAGGAGCAAATCCTTTAAAAATTGAGAACAACTTCTTGCAGAAACATTGCAGTGCCTTTTGCTGAGTTCCACCAATACCTACAGTGCCCTAGAGATGAACTTCCCCCACTCACCTGTGAACCCCCGTGCCCTCCAGCTCACACTGCTGCAGGAGCAGCCAAGCAGTGCCCAGGCAAGGAAAACAACAGAAAAAAAACAGGAGAGGTCCTACCAATACCAATGACATCAGTGTAACAGCAGAAAGACTGAGGAAAAACTCCGTGTCAGGGGTTAATTTATAATTACCATGCAATTTCAAGGATAGGGTAGATGGTGGTGTTTACTAAGCACCCCTGCTGCCACATGCACATAAAGCAGCCCTCCCTCATTGCTTTGCAAAACACTGGATTGCATCTCCATCTGATACAGCTTCCCTGAGAGGAGGATGCTGTTCTGATCTCTGCAAGCTGAGATCACGTTTGGGGGCATTTTTTGTGAGTGGTTAAACACCTGTGACCCTGTCTGTAAAATTACACTTTGCTACAGAGCACGGCACTGAACAAAGCCGTATCATTATGCCCTTGCTGCTTGGGGACACACTAATCTGTTGTGGTTATGGTATGCAGAGAACTTACCCCCCAGGATATTTCCTATACTAAAATAGAAATATAAAAACCATTTGCTCCTTTAACTTGCTTTCATTTGAAACCACTCTGTAAAGAAAAAAAACAAACAACATAAGTATCCAACTGCAGGGATCAGCAGGGAGGAGATGCGGAATTTTACAGGTTAAGGCTTGCCAAGGTTCTGCTGTTTGCTCAGGATCCCTCCTGCCCACACGAAGCAAACAAAATGATGCTGCTTTGAGCAGGGGGAACCATACAGGACAGCTGGTCCACCACCTCTGCACTCTCAGGACCTCACGTGACCTGGAGCAGGCTTGCATGGTAAGGGGTTGCATGCACATCTGGGAATTGCTTTCACTTAGAAAAGCATGATTTCTGGAGGAAACTTGGTTTTGAGGTAGAAACAGGGAAAGAAGATTTTAAAGACAGCCTCCCAGCCCTGGCTCAAAGCACAGCTCATGGGCTCTCTGAGCTGTGGAAGCTGAAGGCAAGCAACCAGCAACTGCAGAGGGGGAAAGCATCCTCAAACATACTCAAATGTGGCTCACAGGATCAGGCCCATGCTCAACCCTGCCATCCACACTGCACAAAACACCCACATCTGCCAGTGGAGCCATGGATGAAGAGCTGTAGCCACTTAAGTATTGTTATTTATAGGCTTTTTAATACTTTTAATAGACTGGTAGAACAGCTGAATGCTGCTGCCATATTAAATGAGTCAACATCAGAATCCATCAGAGGGGTTTTTCCAATAGATTTTGTCCCTGACAGCCAGCTCACTCTTCCTTCCCATAAGCAGTGTAATGCTTCACGATGCGCTGCCACTCCAGTACTTAAGATTTCCATTCTCCTGCTTTATTTGTAGCAAGTTAGCTGCCATTAGTAGAAACAATCCTTTTGAAACTATAAGCGCATTAGAGACGCCAAATCTAATAGCTCCATTATCCTAGATCACCTGCTGCAATTAAACAGAAGTTGCTCTGGTTTTATACAGAGCAGCCACAACCCAGCCCATGGGGAACAGATGCGGGGGACCTGGAGCACTGGGAACTCATCCCCAGATCAGCAAGGTTTTCAACCCTCAACAGTTGCGCATGGAAGCTTGACTGTGTAGGGATGGGGAGCCCCAGCTCACTCGCAGGATGTGCCATGGTGGCATTTGACAACAACATGATAACCTCTCGGCCAAAGAGTTTCACCAGCACAAATGGAATGACCTTATTTTTCAACATTACAGAATCACACAGAATCACAGAATGGCCAGGCTTGGAAGGGACCTCAAGGATGATGAAGCTCCTACCCCTTGTCACATGCAGGGCCACCAACCTCCTCATTTAATACCAGACCAGGCTGCCCAGGGCCCCATCCAATCTGGCCTTGAATACCTTCAGGGACGGGGCATCCACAGCCTCTCTGGGCAGCCAGTTGGCCGTTTCTGAAAAGACAAATTGCAAAGGACCACGACAAAGAACTTATCCAAATTGCCAACACCAGCCCTCGACTGCCGCCCAGGAAAGCTTTTCTTCATCATTATTTTGCAACACACCTGCTCTTTACAGACCAAAGAGTCCATGATCTTTTCAGAAACACTTGCAGAAAAAGCCTGATGGGGATTTTGCAACTTCACCTTCACATTTTCCTCCTTTTCATTTTCCTGTGTGTTCTGTTTTCAACACACAATACCACAAAGCATGCAAAGCAGCGCTCCCGAGCGGATCCGAGCTCCCTGAAGCAATACAAATTAAGTGCTACATTCTTCTTTGTAACAATGCTTCCATATTAAATAAATGAGAATCATGCAACGCTCAACTATTTAAATAAAAACACCATTTGATTTTGCAGTAAATCCTTCAAAAAGGTGGACGCTTACAATAACAGATTGCCCGTCCGCCACAAAATTATGGCCTGCAGACAAAGAGCTGATAAAGCCTCTTGTTTCTCTGCCCCTTAATTAAAAGCATTAACACAGTTTGTTTTTAAAAATCACACAGCTCAGCGCAGCTCAATGCATTTGCTTGTCTCGATAGCTGCGCTCACTTTAATGAGAAAGGAAAAGCAGAATTTGGCAGGAAAGATGAACAGAAATGTTTAGCACAATCGTTGCGTTAGCATCCAGAAATCCACAGCATTAGATCCTTGCCATTATTTCTGTTGGCTCCTCTATGCTGCAAGTGACAGAAGGTCAAGAAGAACAGCTTTTATGAAATATCCTCAGCGTGAATCTCTAAATAAAGATGAAGAAGGTACAGAGGAAAACATTTATCCTACTCTATTAAGTTACCTTAATGGTCTTCCTTTCTTTAGCACACAGTTACCATCTGATGATTAAAAAGTCTCAAGTAGATTGCTTCTTCAATTCAAGGAAATTAATTTTCCTTCACAATTGGATCTTGCTTCCAATTTTATGCTAAAGCGCAAGTTATAAAATATGTAGAAAAAAAGATTAAAAAAAAAAATTGGTGGTCATACAGGTGCAGGAAGGCTGAGAACTTTAAGAATTTGCTTGGGCACCCAGTTTCCATGAAGGCGCTGTTGTTTTTGATCAGTGTCAGTCATAGAGCTGCTCTTCCCACAGCAACCCAATCCCAAAGCTTTAGGAGACACAGCACCACTCCCAGCTCATCTGCGACGGTCTTTCACCTGCATGGAAGGGCATTCTGTGCCACTGACGTCTCTGTCTGCCACTCTTCAATGCGTGAAAACCAAACATCACATATAGCATTGTGAAATCTGAGACTTACCCAAAATATGCACTATTTCCCTCTTCTGCTGCCTGTCTGTACCTCTGTGTCCCAACCGGGGGTCACTGCTGGGAGCCCCATCTCAGCAGTAAACAATGAGGCCCAAACTTCTCCTTAAGGAGTATCAACTCTTCATCTGTGCTGGGTCTGTGCCTGGATGCCACAGTGACCACCCAATAATCATCACAGAATCAAAGAATGGTTTGGGTTGGAAGGGACACCTCCCACCAGACCTGGTTGCCCTTTTTGCTCTTCGGAAAGCTGAAATGCCTTGGAGAGCTGACATCAGACTCAGACAACATCTAAATTTTCAGTTATATTAACAAACTTGGCAAAAGTAAGTACACAGCTTCCAATAGCATCCTATAAATTACTTCCTGGGTTACATCAGGGTTAAGGTGATCACCTTCACTTAATTTTACATGGCAAGCTATGGTAAGAGAATTTTCTTTTGGCTCTAAATAAAATGAAAAACCCAATTTTCAAATAAGAATGATTGCAGTGCTATACACCTCCATATTTCTTTATCTGTGGGAAGGTGAATGTGTTGTGTAATGAAGACTGACTTGCAAAACAAAGCTTTCTAAGAAGAGAATACATGTGGAAATTAAATACAATCAAGTGGCATTAAGGACTGATCCCTCTGGTTGTAGAACTGGGTTAATCCCACAAGATCTCGTGTGCCTGACCCAGCCAGAGAAATGGAAGAGGAGAGGAACTGAATGATTAAAAATGAAATGGAAAACAAGCCTGCTGCTCAATCACATCGGACCCCGTGATTCCCTACACCCGTCCCACCCCTCTGTGCCCCCACAGCTTCTCCCAGAAACAAACGTGCAGGGCAGACACAGCCTGCACGCCCACTGCAGAGCCAGGATTTGCTTTAACAATGAATTTCAGGTCATTAACTCCAGAAATCCGCAGTAAGGAAGGTGCTGGAGCACCTGGGCAGCTGCAGGAAGCCATCACCAACAGCGCACAAGATGCCCATCCCAGCAGCCCCAGTGTCACGGATGAAGTGTCTCCTGGAAGGAGAAATATATATTGCTTCTGCCTCCTACAGAGGGGCTTCTACGTGCACTTACTGAGTCAGGCAGGAGCCAGGCTCTCAGCTTCCCTTCAGTGCCTGTGTAATGGTGTGGGCTGATAAAAGCTGGATGTCTTTCAAGAGAATGCAATAAAATTTCTAGGAAGGAAAGGCACTTCAGCCTACAGCAGCGTACCTTGCTTAATATCATCCCCAGGATGGCATCTGCAATAGTTGTTTCTTGAATAATTCTAGCTTCCCTGCCCCAGTGACCTTGTTTAATTGTCTGTTTCAAATAGGTTTATTTTCCCGCTGTTGCTAAGTACTACG